TATAGAGATAGATCAGGATAACCTGAGCCACTCTAACTAGAAGCTTTATCAAAAAGGAAGACAGCCTTTAGAGTCTGAGCTTCTGGATATCAGTGACTCTGGTTCAGGCATCTGAATCAATGGGCCATTGCTTGTGGTGTTCTTCTTAGTGGGTCCCAATAAGAGGCAACACTGAAGATAACCCAGCTGTATTTCCCCTCTGGGCTGTGCATGTGTGTAGATCCCAGAGAATGAAGTGAGAATGTTTCCTTGGCTAGGGGTGCCGGGTTTCATTCAAAGTAGAACAGATTAAATCCATCCATTAGTGTCATAAACAGACAGATGTTTGCTCTAAAATGGCTTTTCCCAGGTCTTCACTTTTTGTCTCCAAAGTCACTTCTGTCTTTTATCAGTCATTATTTTTTCATGGTTACGTAATTGAGAATGTATTTAGTTCACTTGGACCACCAGGCTGTTATTCATCATGTGTGTTTTTGTAGTTTTTATTTGACCTTTTAATGATAAACTCACTAATTGGTCCGTTAGGCCTCCTGTGAGTCGAGCAGCTCCACAGCCTGAGAAACTTCAGAGGAACAATGTGTCCAAGAAAAAGAGATCAGTGGAGGTCAGTTCTCTTTGCTTCAGCCTGCGCCTCTCGTTCTCTCTTCCCTCCTCTTCATGTTCTTCTTTCCTCTGTTTTCCGTTTCTAGGACCTGGTTTTGGAACACGTGTTTGGTTTCAGAGGCTTCGATTGTCGTAATAACTTGCACTACCTCAACGACGGCTCTGATATTGTCTATCACACTGCTGCCACTGCCATCGTCCACAGTCTCAGCAATGGTACCAATGCATTATGGATTTTTATACCATTGGATAACACAGGATAGGTTATAACCTCATGCTAATGGGTGTAAACCCAGTTTAATCAAGTCATATAATTAATAATTTCCAATGTTGCATTTAAATAAACCAGTTTATAAAACTTTCTTCATCAAAATGTCTTTAATAGATGAAGTTTTACATCTGCCCAACTGTTTTCCTCTTTTGCACTGTAGGAACTCAGAGTTTCTACCTTGAACACACAGATGACATCCTCTGTCTGACCGTCAACCAGCATCCAAAATACAAAAACGTCATCGCAACCGGCCAGATGGGTATGCTCAGCCTCCATCTTTAAATGTTTCCTATAAGAATGCCTGATGCATGGCTTCTGTTAACTCATCTTTACTAAAATAGTCCTGCTTTTTCTGCGTCCTCTTCATCCTTGTTCTATTTCTACTTGAGAGAAACAGCAGAGAACAATTAAAACGTTTAGGTCTATTTAAAGCAGCTGTAAAATGTATTTTTCATATATTTTCATTCAAAATATGCAAGCATTTGCTGTTAGAATTGCTTTGAAATGTTTGACAGCATCAGTTTATTTATTTATTTTCTTACAGTGTCCTTTCTGGCAATGTGGCAATAAGAATAATTGTCTTGATGCCAAAAAAAAAAAAAGCCCAACAGATTTTGCTTTCATAAGTGGAGCAGTACGGCTATCGCCATAGTGTTCCGGATATAGTATAAGGGATACAATAAAGTAACACCTTGATACTATCGCTGAAGTATAAGTAGTATTATTTAATCTAACATGTATACTGTGTTACCTGAAGATCAGAATATGGGCTGTCTGTGTGGAGGTGAATCTCTGAGTACCTGGAACCAAACACCTGTGGTTGCTCATTAGAGGGCACTTGAGCATGTAAAGTTTATGCAAAGGAAAAATGCTCAATAGTGGTTGTGAGGAGCCATAGACGCGCCCCTCAAGAGCTCCGAGGTAACCGATGGGCGACCCAAAGCCCCAGACGCCCAAAGGGACCCCAAGAGGAAAGGTGCCCAGGAGGGGCCAACCCAGGAAATCCGACCCCCACAAAGGGAGGAGGACAGATGACCTCGAGGAAAACTGCAAGCCACCGCAATGTCGGAGCCCCTGGGAGCCGCGGGGGAGTAGTCCGCAGGCTCTGCCAGAAACCAGCCACCCCGAAGTGGATCTGGCCATGGGCCCCAGGGACCTGAGGCCCCAGGGTTGCCCACCTGTCAGCGGGAACCCCGGCCGGGCCCAGGGGGACCTCCTGGATTAGCTGCCAGGAATGAGCCAGTAGCCGCCTGGGCATCCACCCCCAAACACCAAGCACCACCAGTGCACGGGCGAGCCCAGGCGCCAGCCAGCGGAGGGAGGGCAGGATGGGGGGAATGATCTTGGGATGTTCCGGGGAGAGGAAGCAGTTCAGACCCCAACCTGACCAATACAACAACAAAAAAATAAATATCACAGCATTAGTTTAAACCTTATTCATGGTTCAGTTAAAAATGATGCTTTATTTTGCATTTTTATCTTTATTACAGAAAACTTTCGATTCTTGTTAAAAGCCTCAAAGTTATTTCGTGACTAACAGAATTTACTGAGTATCATCTGCATACATGGTAATCTATTTCTAAGGGAGCTCTTGTTTATAAATGGCTCAACACTGGGAGGGACTCGCTCAGCACTGGGAGGGACTCTTAGCACTGGGAGGGACTCTTAGCACTGGGAGGGACTCGCTCAGCACTGGGAGGGACTCTTAGCACTGGGAGGGACTCTTAGCACTGGGAGGGACTAGCTCAGCACTGGGAGGGACTCTTAGCACTGG